CAATAACATTTTCATTCTTTTGCTTGTTCTATCACTTATCGATCAGACAGCTTAATTGACGAAGAGAGAAAGTTAATCGATTGTTGGACAAAATGTGCGTTATACCATGACTCTATTTGTTTTTTTGCCTATCGTTGCATAGGATAGGTAAAATATGAAGGCTTCACAAGCAATAGTATGCTGTTTAATACCGTTGATCCTGTTAAAACCAAGCTCAATCGTCCCGTATACCGATGACAGAAGATATTGATTTTTAATACCAGTTTTGGAAGCTTTTCCTGCGCATGGCCATGCTCCTCGTCAAAGATGGACGTTTGGATGAAGTCTTCGACTCAAGATCGTTTCCGATCTCTGCAGACACCAGGGACTCACTTTCAGCAGCTGCCTCGGCTACCGTCGTTGTGTGTGTCCTTGCTTCGATTAAGATTTCTTTTCCAGTCATGATTTTCGTTTAAGTCACAGTTCAAATCGTCATTTTGCTACCTATCTCGGTGAGAAGTCAGCTTCAGGCACAACTCACACTCTCAGTCACAGATTCAGTTATATTATCAACTTCAACCTTAATATCAAGGTCGATCGGACTGGTTGTGTTTAGTGCGGACTCTGTCAAGCGTAACTTCTCGTCCAGCTTTCACTCGTTGTTCTGTACCATCCTAAAGTTTTTCATTGACCAGTACTCATTTTTATAGCCGTTACGGTCAATTTTTGTCCTCAGCTTGGGGATCTCGGCTTCAGATTGTACTTCGAATTAAATCATATTCTCAATTAGAGTAGCAGCGTCGAACCTAACTACAGTCCTCGTTGCACACATGTTTTGGTACCACTACTCTGACTCAGCTTCGGTGCAGGTCTGTTTTTAGAACTGTACTCGATAGCTCTCCAAGTTTCTGAAAGAATCTTGTAAGCCGCTTACGAATCTGTTACTCTCGAATTCTCTCTTACAAGTGAACATTCGCAGCTGATAAGCACCGGTCGTGCCTATGCTTTGTTGATGGTTGAAGTTGATCATGTATACAAATTATCCAAAAGGATTCGTACCCTTGCTGCTTGGTTTCAGTGCGAAGAGAAGAACAAGTTTCGTGGTAGGTAGTTCCACCTTCTGTGTTCCATTAATTTTTCTTTTCATACCTCACCTAGTAAATATATTTTTCTGGTGAAAATTTGATCACTAACTTATCTTTTCTGTGACTATTCATCCTTAAAATCTTAGTTGAATCTGACCTTGCGTCTGAAATGAAGAACATTTCTAATTTCCTTTTTTCGATAATCGCTTTTATTCTTTTCAAACTCAAGCCCAGGGAAGATTTCTACGGTTTCCTTTGATTTCCTGTAGAAGAAAAGAAAACTAAAATGAAAAACAGTTATAGTATTTGTCCTTTCACAAATAACTGGAAAAGCATATAGCGAAAAACCAATCAAATGAAACAAACGCTCGAGCAAGGGTACTGGTCAATGTGTAATGATGATATTTTTGAAAAAAGTGCATGAAACCAAGCTTCCACATCCGAATACAAAATTCAAAAATTTAATAGGATACAACAAGAGGGTTCTGTTCTATGCAGCATAAAGAATAATTTTTCTTCGATGATAGTGTGTAGCATGTGATTTGTTTGAAATAGAAGAATCATTAGAAGAACTCCTGTTTCCTTCCGTCTGAAAGCCAAGTCTGATTCAACTGAGAATTTAAGGGTGAATAGTGATAAGTACGATAATTTACTAATCCGATTTTGAACGGTAAAATTTATTTCCTAGTAAAAATACGAGAAGCTGGCCCCAACTACCATAATACTTATTCCGTTCTTAATTCTGAAATCAAGCGGCAATGGCACGAATTCTTTTGGATAATTTATATACATGATCTATCTCAACTATCAACAATACATGAGCTCGAATGACACTTATTAGTGGGAAATATTTCTCCGTTAGCATGCAGCTGAATTGCATATCTCATCCTGGTCAAGGTCTCATCTTCATAACAGTTTGGGCTTCGAACCCGATGCTTGTGACATAGGTCCTTACCTTCACCTTGTATCCTTGTTAGCGTCAATAGAGGTCACTCTATTACCGCTAACTTCCAAATTGTGTTCTATTGGATTTTCCTCCATTTTCTAAGTGGTCAGCATATATTTTTCTCTGGACTTTTCCAGTGATTATCCTTCTTGTTGTTTTTCTCTTCTGTTGATGTTGAATCTTCCTCCCCGGTGGTCGCAAGTTGCTTTTCTCTTCCCTTATCCTTTCCCCCTTTCATATTGTGGGTGTGGGTGTGTGGGTGTGTGGGTGTGTGGGTGTGTGTGTGTGTGGGTGTGTGGGTGTGTGTGTGGGTGTGGGTGTGTGGGTGTGTGGGTGTGTGGATGTGGATGTGGGTGGGTGGTGTGGTGTGGGGTGTAGCTGTGGCTGTGGGGTGTGGCTGTGGCTGTGGGGTGTGGCTGCGGCTGTGGGTGCAAATGAACGGAAGATTCACACCCACAGCCACAGCCACAGCCACACCCTTAACCACAAAATAGAACTACTCTGTCCTTTAAGATGAAAAATCATGCTTATTTTCATTACTAAGGCTAAAACAATGAACAGCTTCACCTTTAGAACTGTACATTGAAATTTAATAGATCATCAACGAGGTTAATCAATGATAGAAACAAAACTTTTTTTCTTTTTTGTTTTAAAAAATCAAAATCATCCGTTGAAGTCGATTAAATAGTAAAATCATCTTAACTTAAAGTATAGTACTACATAGATTAAGAACCATAATTTTTTGTTTATAAAAAGTGATTTTGTGATTCAGTCCTTTGTACACTAATTACAATTTTTCTTTAGGTAATAAAAAAAAAGAAAGGTATAAAAATATGTTACATGTTTATTCATTATTGTATTGATTTCACGTCTGACATGTGTTATTTGTAGAATATTAAGGGTAGACAGAACAATACACTCAGTATCAATGAAGATAAGCCGATTAAATGTTTTCGATCTCAACATAATACTTCTGTTATGTGTTATGTGTATGCTTTTTTCGAGTTTTTTTTAATGGCATTGTCAAAATAATTTTCATGAAATTTAAACAAAAATTTACATTGGCAAAGAATTCACAGTAAGCCTTATTATCGAGTTAATTATTCATAGGAATTTAAGTATGAGGCTTTTCTCTAAAGCCTTTTAGTAATTTCGAGTTTTTCAAGAGAAGAGTCGAAAGAAAAACAAAGTAGAAAGACTGTAAGCGTGATGATAAATACGAGAAACGATTATTATTATTTTTTTACAGACGATACACAATGTGATTACATTTGAAAGAAGCAAAGTCTTTTAACTCAAATCAATGTATTATTATCAATGAATTTAATATATTTGTAGTTCCATGATATTTATCGTGAAGAAAAATAAAGAATTCAATATAAAAAAAAGTCGTTATTAGTGAAATTTTCAATTAATAACATAGCTAGAAAAATTGTTCAGGTTTTTTTCGAGATTCAGTGATGATCATGAGTTATCTTCAGACATGTTCAGACTCGATAGAACGACGTGTCAAAGCAATCAATAACAAATTTATTTTCGTTCTCTCATGTATAGTAGCCATACTTCAGTCATTTGAAATATGCTATCTATTCGTTTTTAAATTCATCACTGAGATATAGACTCGCTACCTAATGTGAGATTTTCTTAAATCATAGGAAAGTGCACATGAAAATTAATGTTGTAATAACCAAACGATTGTTTCAACATACAATGAGGATCAAAGAGATGGTATGATATATGACATTCACGTCCTACGTAGTTTAGGTCTTGCTTTCAAAACCGCTAGCAATTCAGCATCCTCTGCGAGCAGAAGTGTCAAAAAACGGAGGTTTGCCGTATTTATAGTGGGCGACACAGGTAGAAGAAAGATTTATATGACTCGACGTCTGATTTCGCTGCGCGATGATCAACAGTGCGCTTCGGTTATCCAGGACAACTCAATGGAACCTATATTGTCCGATATTACGTACTTCAGAGCGAAATCGATATCATCGTCATCTATCATTACCTTGCTCCTTAACTACGAAGGTGAAGCAGATGTCGTCGAACGTGCTGACAAAGTCGCTCATTCTTCCCACAACTTGCTTATGCATTAAGTAACGTGATGATAATAATGAGCCGTGAAGGGTTTGGCTCGAATAGCTACATGCAACAATTTATAGCGTTTACGAAGTGTGCTACACACTAAAATAAAATGTGTCGTATATATGTGTCGCACAAGAATGTGTCGCAGACTCCATTACAAAAATGTGTCGTACAAAAATGTGTCGCATTATAGATGTGTCGTAGCCTATATGTCAATCGTTCATTCACCGATTTGTTTCGCGAGTGCAGCTGCATATAACCGGGCCTATTGGACTTACTTGACTTATACATTTTCGTATGTCTTTTTTTTCTAGATTATTTCTCGACCATTTATTTTTCGAGAACATGTCGAGAGGTCACTAGATGATCGAGAATGGACTGCCTCGACGTAGTCTGATCGAGATCAAATGGTCTCGAGGCAGCTAGATCTTACGATCTACCGTCTCGAACTCCAAGAATAGGTGCTACTGTTTGAAATTAACTGAAATAATAGTAACTATTCGAATTTTCAAAAAAAAAATAATTCTCGTGCCGAAAAATGGATTCGAACCACGCGGTAAAAATGTGTCGCATGTGTCGCACAAGAATGTGTCGTACGTCCGCTGGAAGAAATGTGTCGCAACGAGCTCCTCGTGTCGCATATTAATGTGTCGTACATTGTGTCGCAAAGTGCGACACATGCGACACATTTTATCTTAGTGTGTACTGAGCGTTATACAATCCATTATAAGCCTATACTTATTTGTATCTGGAATTTTGTATCACCCACTCGTTGCATGGAAGTTGAAATTTTGTACTTTTCAGGAAAAAAAATATAAATTACAACATTTTTCTCAAATTTATTCTGTTTCAAATTGCTGAGTTAAATAAAAATGCGTACATGAGCTAATCACCATTACAATGTTTTACAACGGTTTCATCGGGATGGGACATTTCTCATAATATTCATCTTCCGTCATTTTCATCAATCGTTCAGATTTCATCATAAATGGACCAAAACGTCGTCCTATTGATGCTAGGATAGGATTTTGTGAATGTACGATCAAACCTAAATATCGTGCCAAATTAACAATACGCTTTGTTCGATCAAAACGTTGATTATAATAATCCTGAAATGATGGCTCAATTCGGAAGCTATTCTTTTCTAAACATATTGCAAGTGAAATTGCATCTTCAATAGCCATATTAGCTCCTTGACCGACATAGGGCAATGTTGCATGGCATGAATCACCCAGTAAACAGACTCGACCACGATGCCATCCATCCGTGCGATGTTGACGATAATATAATCCGAAATGGAGCAAACGTTTTTGACCAGTTGCCGCTGCACATTCATGGATAGGATGTTTTTTTAGGAAATCTTCTTAATACGTTATCTAATTCTAGTTTATTATTTATTTCTGTCCATTCGATATCTCCACTGGTAGATGGAGGTGCATCAGATGGATAGGTGGCTGCCCACATAATTTCTCCGTGCTGACCAATTCGATAGGCTGCAAATTCACCACGATCAAAGTATTGTGTTAATGTGTTCTTAGCTCTAATTGACGAATTAACAGATATTTGCTGATCGATATTGTCTATTACACCATAGAATATATTTTCTTTCGTATAGATTGGTGGAGGAGTTTGTGGAAATATTTTTTTAACAACTGTTGAACGAATACCATCGGCTCCCACGACCATGTCTACACGAATTGAGTTTTTCTGTTTTTCATTTTCGAAATAAATCGTTACACCATCAGAATCTTGTGTAATATTGATAACATTATGATTATAGTGTAAATTACCACATGCTTCTATGGGTGCTTTCAATATATCAACAAGTTCTGCACGAACAGTACCTCCGACAAAGAAACCAAACCGTTTACCAAAACTAGCAAGTCTATTTGATGAACGAATCATATCACCATTGCCATTAATAAACTGCCATATAAGAAAGGGATGCGTGATTTGTTCAAGTTTTTCTTTAAAGCCAATGTGTGCGAGTACTGCTTGTCCGTTTGGTTGAAGGCCAAATCCAGCACCGACCGTTGGAATAAAATAAGGGGCACGTTCATATAATGAGACAGACATTCCTACACGCATTAAAGTATTGGCCACTGTCAAACCACCTATTCCTCCACCAATAATTGCTACAGAACGAGCTATTGCCATGAAGATAACTACTGTTGAATAATAATTATTAAAATATATAAGATTATTTAACCAATTATGATTTAACTAATCTATAAACAGTATCTAAAACACAAAAAGGATTTTATACTACAAAAATTGCTTTTTTTCTTACAGTATAAGAACTGACCTCAGAGGTTCATTATAGAGACCGGGATAAGTAGTCAAAGATTTGGATTTGATGATGTTCGACTCGACTAGTCTATGAATTATTCCTATTGAACCTGTTTTTTCTACAAAAAAAATCATCATTCATCAATACAATTTGAACTCGAGATATTCTTCAAGTTCAGTTATTCTTTGACCGATATCAGAGAATTCTATGTTCGCAGTGGCCGAACTGCAAAGGATCAAACAATAATTGTGACGATACTGTTATATCCGTTCTTTCTCATAATTCTCCTTCCTCTTATCCGTATCTTCTTCTGTTCTCTTTTGTATTTTCCTTTCCTTCGTTCTTCCCTTCTTCTCTTTTGGTTGCGTATATAAACGTGTGCTTTGTATGTAAATAATGCTATTCTTGATAAGAAGAAATATAAAAAAGCACATTTCCATCAGCGCTAACACTTCTTCTATCCAAAAATCGTCACAGTAATATGTGGCTAACAGTGATAATAATAGAAACGCGAAAAGTTATTTTGATACTCCTGAAAAGCAAGCAAGTAAGGAGTTGCGATCATCAAACATTTTCTACTGAATAGTTGTTTGCATATGATTAAGAGCACAAAACTCAAACATACAAATATAGTTTTCTGCCAAATCAGTCTATACATCAAATACATTCAGAGAAATAGAAACGTATTTTTCTTATGAATATGGAATCCGTTGTTTTTACCGCGTTTCCGTGAGATAAAACAGTTTATCGAAAAAAAACTATATGCAACAGAAGAAAAACACATTGTTTACTTTTTCTGTTGTTGATTTACAGGTAATACTTAATGAATTTAAATCAGAGGACATTGCTGAAGATTTGCTGATTATACTGGGTAATTTTTAGAAAGTAAATTGGTTTGGAGAATCAGTTGATAAATGATATTACATGTGAATTTGCTGTTCCTCATGTCACCAGTCAAGTTCCTGCCGCAATATTGCGTGCAAACCAATAGGTTTAATATAAAGACCTAGAAATATATAATAAACAAAAACAATTGTTTGCAAAGATCACAACTTCCCATTATAATTCAGTTTTTTCATCAATTATTCACATCAATAACAAGATGTCGCTTTTAATCGTCAAATATAGTCATTACACAATATTTTCGAATTCATAAAGTTTAATATTATTCTTCTGCTATTTTGATTAGTAGATAGCTGGATGATTGCCATCTTACAGGTGTAAAGTATTTGATAAAATATGAGTTGATTTTTTATCAAATTCTATGACATATTGCAATTCTTCTTCTGAAACCACAGTCAATATTGATAAAGATGTAGGTGATGAAATTATTTTAATTTTATTCTCAACTGAAAATATATAAAATAAATATAAAGTATTACAGAAATAGTAGATAGATACACTGTTCTTCTCTTTTATGAACCTACAGCTGAGTAGTAGTAGAATACAAAAAAGCAGTGACAAAACCAATACAGCTAGGAATAAAAAGAGTAGAAGAAACAAACAAGAATGTCGACAATGATATGATTGAGTCAAAGAGACCAGTCTATCACGACGTAGGATATCTTAGGTCAGGATTCGAGTATTTCCTGAATGGATTCGCCATACAGTACTCTCCAATTCTGACATGCAACTCTTCAAGTAGAACTCGATGTGCTCTATCAGATTCACATCACCTTTACCCAAATAAACCAAACCCTTGTGAACAAAACTAAAAAAACCGTTGAAAAAACCCAAAAAAAACTAGCAAAATCCGGGAAAATCTATCGCGATTCACTCAGGAGAACTCTTCAAGTACGAGACACACCTCTTCACATAGATCTCAACGAGCTCTATCTGATTCATACCTTGTTGACCTTGTCAGACTACTCAGTGACCCAGAAAATCGCTAATTAGTACTTAATTAGTCACTTTTCTAATTGTAGCCGCCATGATTCGCTCAGCAGTACTCTCCAAGTATAAGATATATCTCTCCAGATAGATCTCGATTAGTTCTATCGAATGGATACCTTTTCGACCTTGTCGGAGCATTCAGTGATCCGGAAAATCGCTAATTAGTGCTTAACTAGTCCATTTTTTTAAAAATTCTGGCCGTCATCGTTCGCCCAGAAGTATTCTCCAAGTACAAGATATTTGAAACAAAAATAAAAAATAAATTAATGAAATGATAATAATAATGTTTATTATATCTTGATGATGTAAATGTCAATAAATAATCATATAACATTAAAACAATCTGTTAAATAAAAAAAACCTGATTTGAGCGAACTAGATTTTTGTCGACAATTGAACATTAGGCGTCTAAGGGTGTGGGTGTGGGTGTGGGTGTGGGTGTGGGTGTGGGTGTGGGTGTTGGTGTGGGTGTGGGTGTGAGTGTGGGTTAGGATGTGGGTGCGGATATATCTCCTCTACACGTACACTCACACCCCACATCCCACACCCACACCCACACTCACATCCACACCGACACCCACACTTCCACCCCCACCCCCACATTCACATCCGCAATCAACTTATGAATATTCCATTGTCTACCATACCATGTCTTGATGAACTCATGAGTGCTGAATCTTCATTCACTAGCACGTGTCAAGTGACTAGATCAAAAAATATTCAATGCAATCTGATCAATATTAAAAGTAATGTATGGTTGTGCTTTTTCAAGTGGAGAACCTTTTGAATGTGAATCACAATCGTTATCCAGTTCAATATCACATATTATATCTATTAAAGAGCCGATGATTATAACATTTCCATGTGACAAACCAGTACGATGTTCGAATGTTCAATTACCATCAACTACATGTATTAACACTACTATTATAATCACAACCAAATATAATAATACATTGAAGAAGCAGTCTGTTCCTGTAATTCTCTTCAACAAAATTACTGATAGACTCGTCTCAATTTACAAAACGGCAGCAATGGAAGCATTAACACAATTACAAATAGAAATTGACAACAATCAATGGTGGATGAAAAGAATTCTTAAACAATTTGGGAATACTTTACTGTCATTTTTCTCCTGTGTGTTGTTAAGTATTGCTCTGTTGGTGATTAAAATTTCAGGATATAAAAACAACGAACAAATGAAAAATATACAAACTCAAATCAATAGAATAAATACAACGAGATATTATACAAGAAATATGATTGAAATAGATTATAATGCTATTTATTAATGAACACTTCAAATAAAATGACATATTGAAACATGCTACTGTTCATTCTTAGACATAGCTTTAATAACATGTAAAAAAAGGAACTATTGTAGTATTGTTCAAAATCAATATCTGTTCTAGCTTTTTCATTCTATCAAAAGTAAACTTGTTGCAGAACATCAAAGATGCTTAGTCAACTGGAAAAATCTGAATAAAATATCACTATCATTGAGATAAATAGTGATGAAATTTCATAGTGAACACGTTTTACTCTTATAAATCATGTTTGGTAGATAGCAAAATGCGTAGCGAATTCAACTTCAAAATGTCCATTTAATACATCAAGACCGACGTATGCAGTGTATATTTCTTTGCAAAAAAATTTAGTAACATCATCATGATGATAAATACTCATGGTATATTGAAGGGAGAGAATTTTTCTCTTCTTAAGTGCACGTAGAAGATAAGTGTGATACATTCAATATACTTTCTTGTATTGCTTATAGCTACAATTAATAGCTATGTATATCTATGTGATATAATAAATCACATCAGTTATCAACCGCGCACCAGTACAGTATAGGATTGCTTAATAAAGGAATTTTATTTATTTTATAAGAAATGCTCGAGTGATTGTAATTTCATTGTTAGATATAGCATAAAATTTCCTACTATAGTTATGTCTATTGCCATTACAAGAAATATTATGTTCTTTAAAGAATAATATAAACGTTGCATCTGTGATGAACAATAATTAATTCTCGACATATCTATGACATAGAACACATTGCAATTTCTTTTCTTTTTTTTCCAATTTCTTTTGATAATTTTTCGATGTTTTGTTTGTTGAAACGAATGCAGCGCTTATTGAAAAATGTGACTTTTTGATGACTGATAACGTAGTAAGTTTATTCGTGAAGTGTTTCTTTATCATACGTCAATACATAAACAGTTGCCGTGTTCTAATTAATTCTTATGAGTAGTCTCTTTCTTTTTAATCATTCCTTCTCAATTGATTTGCTTGCATGGTGTTACCAATTTCTATCATGAATATATTATTTCATAGACACATAATCATGTAGATGATAAAAACAAACAAACTTATATTACCTGCTCTAATACCTCTTCTTCGATGATATTTCGACAAAGATTTCGGGTAAAACCGCGAACGCTAAATCAAAAGTAACGATACATATACAGTGATTTTCAAAAGCATATATGTAACCTACTTTACAAACACAATCATTCCGAATATACTTCGCTCCACACCAGCAACTGCCAACAAGTTCGTCTGATGTAACGTTACTTACAACAATGTTGAACCCGCTGGACAACAATTCATAAACACTACTCGGCAAGAAACCTGACTTACTAGTAATTGCCAGTGAATTCAACATTGTTGTAGTTGTTGAAGCTTCATCAGGAGGATTTGAAAGAGTTTCTCGTGTAAAATCGAACTTCTCCTAAGTCTTGAATACTATCGGCTAAAAAAGAACGAATTCAATTTCATACTATACATTCTTATAGGTACTTACATCAGGCACAGGATACCCAACCAAAACACAAATACTAAACGACATAACAAACATATTGAATAACAACTTCATTGTAACAGTGTAAACAAAATTTAATATGATACCAAAAAATACTCGCGCACATGAATAAGTAGAGCACTGATTCAATTCAATTACATCATAAAGATATAACATCAAACAAGAAAAACAAATTTTCGAACACCCGGCACAATCAAAACAAATGAACTATTGTACTTTCCACAACAAACACCTACATTTCTCAATAACAAAAATTCAAACGCAACACAAGTGATCAACCATCAAACACAAAAAAAGGCCGACAAGAAAACAAACACACTAATGAAACGATAAACACAATCTCTCTTCCATCGATAATCCCAACAAAAAGCCGACAAACACACGAATAACTACCCAAACATAAGTTATACATTCTTCAATGACATCCAAGTTCAACTAACACACGACAATCTCAGCACTCATCAGATTCATGTGCGGCTCACCACGTTTTTCCTTACAGACCCCGCATCAAAATTGAGTCACACTAGAAGAGTTGTATAATCGTGTAGAGGCTTCAATTTTGCATTTCATGATGTATTTTTTGTCCTTTTGCAAATAAATCTGAGTTAAGAAAAATCGATAACAATATCTGAACTCAGTACCTTGAGGTGTAGCTCACCTTTTTTTCCATCGGATACCGTTTGGAAAATTGATTCTCCCTAGAAGCGTTGTATATTCTTGTAGAGGATTCCATTCTATATATGATGATGTGTTATTTGTCGTTTTGCAATGGAATGTTAGTTCAGAAGAATCGATAACAATATCTGAACTCAGTAGTTTTGTGGTGTGACTCAGCTGTTTTTTTTTCCTATCGGAGGCCATTTGAAAATTGATTGTCTCCATTAGAGTTGTATATTCTTGTAGCGGATTCAATTTTGAAAACTCATCTCAGGACAATGAATGGTATGTGTATGACTTGGTTTTATTTGAATCTTTTTTTCATTTTTTTGTGAGTCACCTTATTTTTAAGGATTTGTCACCTCGATAGAAATCGATTATTGATAAGAGTTGTACACCAATTAATGCAGAAGAAAATTCTCTACAAATTGGTGTATAGATCATTTGGGGGCACTGGATTGTATGGTGGCTAGTGATAATGTGAAAACGTATGTTCGTGGATATTAGCGATACGTGTTGTAGTGAGTGAACGATAATGTTTTTTGAAATTTTTCGTCATTTATTTTGATGGGATTATGAATTTTTAAGGTACTCTAGGAAAATGTTTTCGGTTATTAGGGAAGGTTTTGGTGGTATTTTATGGACGACGAGTGGTCAAATATGCTCTAGTGCTGATTGGTTGGTTTTATATCGATTCTGATTGGTGTTCGTGCTAGCTTCACATTGATAACTTTTCGTTATTTGAATGGAACATTTGATTTAACAACTATTAAAAGATGTTGCAGAATGAACGATGAAACTAATGTCCATTTCAGAGATCAATGGCCGTAGGTATTTTTTCAATAACTTGTCATGGGACCGAGATAGAGACCTACAGTTTTCACCATTGGAAAGATGAGATGAAAACGCATCGAACCATATACAGAAAGATTCCTAATTACTATCAGTAAGGTATCCAAACCAAGAAAGACACAATTTATTGCCTCATGTTTTCAACAAAATAATCGAAAAACGTAAGTTTTTGTAGTATTTTAATTAGAAAAATTGCTTTTTTAACGTAGAAGAAAAAAAACAATTCTTTGAAAACATTTGACTAAAACCTTTATAAAAGTAATTAGAAAAAGTTTTCTATATACGATTCGATGCGTCTTCATCTCTTCTTTCCAACGGTGAAACCCGCAGGTTTGTATCTCGTTCCTGTAAAAATTTATTCAAAAAATGCCTACGGCCGCTTATCTCTGAAATGAACATTAGAACATCTATAACTCATTAAAATTGATTCTAAACATCTAACTCTTGTACATTATTTTAGATCTTCCATAGGCTGTTGAATACAAACCTAAAAATTGAGAATTTGTTGTAAACACATCACGGAGTAAGTTTGTTTTCAAACAGGTCGATTGAAAATCTTTAAAAAGCCATGTTAACAAACTTATAATATAGGATTACGATGCAGCTTCATTTCCTCTTTCGAATCATAAAAAAGCGTCTTAGTGCAGCTCCTTTGGAGCTGAAATGTGGAGCTCACGTATATTCTTCAAACTTGTTATCCTAATGCATCATTTGTAAACTGAAAAATAGTTTTTTTTTCAAATAATTATGAAATCATTGAAATATTGCATAGAATCTGAAGCATTTTGTGCGCGGTTACTGAGGTCTGCAATGAGGGGAGGGGAGGTGGGGTATGTCTGTAATAGAGTGGGGAGCCGGAAAACCTTGGCCTAAAAACTTACATTCACTATTTTCTTCGAAAATATACGTGAGTTCCACAAAATCACATTTCTCTATCTTGTTTCTATCAAAATTGATTAAAAAAATGTCCACTCAATAGGCATTATTATACCGATACTATGACAGAAAAACAGGTTTTATCGAAATTTTATTATTATGGTATTAGTTGAAGTGTGATCAAATAGCATAAAAAATAGAACATTCTTTTCTGCATCAGGCTATATAGAGAGAAAGTTTCTTAAATTTTAATATAAAGTATTAAAGTATTACTGCCACTACTTTTGAAATGCCCTAAGTATGTGAATATTTTGGACTTTGTCATCTATTTGCTCCTTTTCTATCAAGAGAATCATTGAAATGACATGCAATTTACTTTTGCACACTTCGATACAAGTAATATTAGGAGATAATTCACTGAATCGTTCGAGAAATAAATAAAGTGATGAATATAAGTCAAACCAAATATAGTCGTTATGTGATCTATTGAAAATATATGGATAATTACTAGAAATAAAAAAATATAGTTGAAGTAAAAAGTTCTCAGAGTTTTCATAAAGATAAATATCTTACATGAGACTATCAAAAAACTGCAGTGTATTAGTGAAAGAAGAGAAAAGATGTTGAAATGATATTATTGGATCAAATAAACATTTAACATTTGTTCATTGACGATCAACAAAAAAAGAATGAATTGTAAATGAATATAGTTATTTGTACTATATCATTCAATGATAATTGACATTCTGAATAAATATAAAAATTGAAAATAAATTTGCATCAATAACAGATTTTCATATTTTTCGACATCTTGTCTCAGTTAATTTATCACTTTTAAGATGAACTTGAAGTTTTTCAGCATAATTTAACTTGTTAAAGAAGCCATTTCAGATAAACAAATTCCATATTATTACAAATGAAAGTTTTTAAACTAAAACATCGTAGCTGTGATACCGTAAAAGAATCCGATTGTTTTTATTAATCAAAAGAAAGAATTATTTTGAGAAATTCATAAAATAAAAAAAAATGAATTTTCTTGCTGTATTAAATCAATTTTCATTTGATTGACGCCAGGTTTTAAGACTTTATTTCCATAATGAATCAAATATCAATGAATAATCAAACTGAGCAGTGTGGGTGAGTGGAGAAGAATAAACTACACTCAATCACAGATCTACAATCACAACCACACCCGAATGAACATACGAAATTTCGTTTTTCAAAATAATTATTTTTCTAAAATATTTCTGGAATGTTTTGTTGCTCAAGAACATGCCAATCTAGATCTGGTATCTAGAGAGGACTATCCTGAAGTGATCTGATGAAGATCGAACCGGCTGGAGACCAGACAGATTTCGAGATTCGATTCTCTTGATTATTCAGAATAGGAATAATTAAATTGAAATATTCGATTTTTTAACAATGCTATATAGAAAACTGACAGAACCATGCAAGGGTGTATCATATTTTATCATCAATGCTAATAGATAGTGGCGACTAAGGGATTAGTTTTTTCCTAACATATAGTGGCTGTTATGTAAGTAGAATAGTTAATAAACGAAATGTAAAAGCCAATGGCTAAAAAATACTTATACCATAAATTTAATTAGAAGTTTGAAAAGAAAATGCTGTGGATAAAGTTCTATAAAATAAAAGTTTCATAAATATCAAATGAAAGTAGAACCATCCGATAAAAACCGATTAAATTGTTGGAGAACTATTCATCTTTTATTGGAAGAGTTCTTTAAATACACTGTATAGCAGAAATTATGTGTGTTTGTTCAGAAAATATGAAAAATGATCGTAAGTTTTGATTTGATAGATAAATCTGCGCTTCTAGGTTAAAATCATCTGTCAAGAACAGACTTTTGCAGAGGCCGATTATCATAGCTTGCTGTTAATATCATTAAAATCTGTGAAAAGGAGATAATAGTAATCTTTGGATTAAGATGAACGCATTTTCTGTATATGGTTTCTATTTAATGAAAAAATTATCTATTAGTATCATGAGATAAGGCAACTGTTAAACAGTATAAAAGAGATTGTCTTCTCATATATTGTCATTCGATGTAAAGATTGAAAAAAAAATAATTGCGTTTACGTTACACATCATTGTGATTTATCAAACAAAACCAGATGGCAGTATCGATAGAGGATCTTGTTCGAGGTGGCAAGTATGTTAATGCAGTGGCCGGAATCTTTTTCTGGTTATTTGGTGTCGCTGGATCTCTCGCAATTCTCATTATTTTCTCATCAAAACGGCAACTTCGTCGCACCGCTTCTAGTCAATACATTCTCGTTGCGGCTATTTTTGATCTTGTTTTTTTGGGTATTGCTCTTGGTTATCGAATAATGACCGATGGTTTATCAATTCAAGGTGACTTCGCTCTTTTTTTTTATAATACAGCCATTTGTAGAATTCGAAACTATATAACTGGCTTGGCCAATTTTGGTACCTTATATACAAAATGCCTTTGTACTTTTGATCAATGGGCAGCAACCGATCGATCGGCTGACATTCGTCGATTTAGTTCTATTAAATGGGCTCGAATATTTCTTACAGTAAATACACTCGTATGGGTATTCATGAATATACCTCAATTGATTTACAATGATATAATTAAGGTAAAACGCTGAAAATATACTTGTTTGATAGAAAATAGAAATATAAACAAATAATAGAATAATTTCAATGAATTCCTGCAATAAAGCAGTAACATATCAAAATATCATCGGTGATTAATATTATAAAAAACAAGTCACTGGGCATACTTTTCATGAACTTTTCAAACTTTTATCTTTCTGTTTTCTCAGTCAGACACAAAAGCTAAAAAACACGTGTATTCGTGGAAAATTTTTATCCATGCGCGTTTACTTTCACAACACTTTTCAAACCATAGATGTCATGACCGAACATAGAAGCCGTTTGGATTGCTTGCGATTATTGCGCATAAATGTGGGACACTAACACATGCATGCAAAGACAATTTTTGAAGTTTTCATGCAACGTATTCGAGATCATGCATGATTCTTATCCTTCCAAGTTCTTGAATTGAAGCTTTTTGCATGTTCGTGAAAAATATATGACTCACATGTAAGCACCAAAGCGTTATTTACGTGTATATGCAAGATGACTAAAATTTTGATGAATTCAATCTATCTGTGTAAGAAGACCGTATTTAAGAAAACGATTACCACACCATCTCTCCATCGAGAGGCAAATTTTTAATATTTTGCCGTGTACTGTCATCTTATGCAAGAATTTTGTTTTTTCTTTTACATGTATATATTTACTACTCATTGAAAATGAACCTGTATTTAAGTAATTACATTATATTGACTGAAAAAAATATTTATTTCTTCAAATTCCCTTATGGCTAGTGTCATTCATGTACGTACATTTCATATAATCATCTAATGATCATCATATCCTCCAGTTCTGGTGGCACTATTAGTGTAAGTAAATAGTTGAGCAGTAAAAATTTCTTCTTATAGAACAATGCATGTTCGAATCTTATATCTAGAGAAAAGTTACTGTATGTTCATGCATGTTTGTCAGAAGTGCTTCATTTTTTTGGCCCTTCTAATAATTTCTTGCATTACATACGCGGCGACTTCTGTGCGTGTAATCGCAAATATAGTAAACTTTTTGATGCGTTCACACGTATGCCATGTCATAGCAATCTGTGCATGTACACGCATTTTTCAAGCTTTCACATCTGCCTGGGTTCTAATGCTGTTCAATTCATGAGAATATCAAATTCATTTATCTTTTTATGTTTTTTTCTCTCTTTTAGAGTTCTTCTGGAGCATTGTCATGTGTTAACACATCAAAAGGTTACATTTATGCTTATTCTTATTTCCTTCTCCCAGTGATCTACTTCTTTGTGCCTTTCATTTTTCTGATTGTCTTTGGCTATTTAACTTGCACTCATGTTAAACAATTAAATCAAGGTTCTTTAAATCAAGGACGTTTTCGTCGCATAGAACGACAATTAACTTCATTGATCATTGCTCAAACATTGGTTTGCATTATTACCTCAGTACCTTATGGTGCTCAATATCTCTACACAGGTATTACACTTACTCAACCAAAAGATCCCTATCGTCTTGCTATTGAAGCACTGATCCAACATGTTGTTCGACTCAATTTGTATGCCAGTAGCGCCGCTCCTTTTTACGTCTATATCTGTTTATCGAGCGAAATTCGACGAATGGCTATTCATTTAGTACTCTGTCGACTACATAAGATTAATGAAGTTGTTCCTTCACAAACATTTGATAAGACAGCCAATCGAATGATGACTGAACATCATACAACGAGAACAATCCATCAAATTAAAAATAATTGAAAACAAACAAACTTCTTCATTATTGTCCTGTATTAGTTTTATCAACTATATTAACTTGAACTTTTCCTGAGCGATGAAGACAGACTAATGATATATTTGTTGTAGAACACTTAGAAGGTTTTCATCATTTAAGAATATAATCATAATCATAATGCCCGGTGGGTTTCTCACCGGGTGGAGTCAACCGTTGTTGTGATCGATTTTCTCTACCGTTTTCTATCTTGGGCTAGGTGGAACAAGTCTTTGAGGTTATGATTACACCATTCGACGATGCCATCTAGTCATTCCTTACATGATCTTCTTCTTTTCGATTTACTTTCCATTGTCGCGAATAGTGTATGTTTTAGGAGTCTACTGTCATCCATCCCACAGATGTGGCTGAGCAGTCTAAGTTTTCTTTTCATTCTTGTTTCTATGACAGTTTCTTGTGCCTTCATTTCCATTCAAATGTCGACATTTCGTATCATATCTTTCCAGCTGACTTTCATATTCTTCGGTAGCAGTTCATCTCGAATGCTAGCAATTTTCTTTTATCCGCTTCTTTTAAGATCCATGTTTCTGAACCATATAACAGCACACTGAAGACGCACGTTCTGAGGATTCTTATATTGCTGTCTGCTTTTGGCTTTTTGCTGCTCCATATATGTTTTAAAAAAGACAGTGCTCCAATTGCTTTGCCAATTCTTCGTTTGATATCTTCTGAGCAGTTATTGTCCCATGCTATCAGACTTCCAAGGTATTCAAAATTGTCAACATTTTCGATAGTTTCACCCGTAATGTAAGCCTGTTTGTCAATATTTTTATCACCAAATACCATCGTCTTCGTTTTTTGTACGTCTATTATTAGTCCTGCTTCCTCGACAATTTCTTTCACTCTTTGAATTTGTTGATGAAGTGATTCATATTCCTCAGTTAGCAGGTCAATATTATCTGCGAATTGCAGGTTATTTATTATAATTCCACGCATATTGACTCCGTACGTTTGTTCTGTCCCTGTACCCATTACTCTTTCAACGCATGTGATGAACAGAAGAGGTGGTATAGGATCTCTGGCCTTGTTCCTACATTCGTTTGAAACCATTCGCCGATCTTTATTCCAATGTGGACTGCTGATTATGCTTTTCTTTAGACATTTTGCAGTAGTGTGACTAGCCTTTGTTCTACTCCGTACGATCTCAGGACGTTCTAGATAATTTTATGTTTGATCGTATCAAAGGCCTTTTGAAAATCAATAAAGCAGTTGTATATCTTTTAGCCTTTTCGTTTTTCATCTCGGCTCTGAATCTGAGTATTAGTATTTGATGCACGGTGCCTCTGTCTTTTCTGGAATCTGTATGTTCTTCTGAAAGATACGGCTTGAGATAATGCTTGAGTTTACTCAGCAGCACTATTTGTATTATTTTTTCAACGTGACTTATTAGTGAGCTCGTTCTGTAGTTTTTAGCATTCAGTCATATCTCCTTTTTTGGATATTAGTACTAGAATTGATCCAGCCCATGCTTCTGGTACTTTTCCTTCTTCCTACACTCTATTGCACAGTTCATATATTTTTCGAACAAGATCTTCACCTCCGACTTGAAGCATCCTAACTGTTATTACGTCTGCGCCGTGTTTTTTGTGCCTTTGAAGAGAGCGTATAGCTTCTTCGACTTCAGAATACAAAATCTCTTTGGATTCTTCATTACCGGGAAGAATAATGGGCTCTAATTTTTTCATCCCTTCGTTTCCGCCTCCTCGGTCTCTGTATAGGTCATGACAGTACTGTAGCCATCTCCGTTGCACGGATTCTTTTGACTGCAACATGCTGCCATTTTGGTTTTTTTATTACCGTTACTTTTGGCTCATACTAATTCTTTAATATTTTTATTGTACTACATGTCTGTCTGGTGTTGCCGATTTTCAGACCGTTTTTGATTTCCTTGCATTGGTCTTGTATTCGTTTTTCTTTGTCATGTCTTGTCGATATCTTGACCTGTTGACATAGGATTTTGTATTTTTTAGTGTTTTCTACAGATGTATGTTTTATCTGTTTTAATTTTCTTTTTTAGTCAGCCAAGTCCAAATTTTGCAAACTTTTTCAGTATAACAACAGTAAAAGTGGAAATAAAAAAGCGTCATCAATCGGTGAAAGTATATTAGGCTCGAGTAGCTTGAGCAGACCACATTTCGAAGATAGCATTCGGGTCTATAGTCAATCCAATTTGCATGAATATGATACTTTCAAAAATGCGCTTTTGATTGTTCCTAGTCAAGCAATAGTGCCATTGGTGACCTATATTGAAACGTGGATCACCAGTCTCGAGCTAAACAGAAATAGATGGATATGAAACAATTTTCGACAATAAAGTATAAATTACAACAAGAAATTTCCAATAAAATTGTGGAAGTTGGCATGAATTTTCTCCTCTTTGAAACAAGAATTTCGGAGACTATTAGAAAATTACCAAGAATTGTTTTCCTGCCGCCTTAGATACAATATAGATATATGATGCAAGTCTATACAATAGACATCGATTCGAATAGAAGGCCTGTTCTCAGTTTTAGAGAAAGGAGGCAAGGTGATAAGATCGTAAAATGGCCGTCAGGATTTTTTTCGCCAGACACCTTATTATCTTAAATCAACTGAAAGATCTCATTAAGATAAGCATTTTTGGTGATCGAACTTTGTATTTTTTCACGGATAAATAAAAAGTTTGAGAAGCGTCAATATTCGATATTTTTGAGCATAAATTGATTTTATGAGCAATATGATATGCTATATCTATTCATATAGAGAGATAGAGAAAACAAGATTTCTTTTTACTTCAAATAGTAGGTGACATAATTCTTCAACACTGCTATAAATATCAAATTTTTTGCTTTAGTCGTTTTGATTTTTATAGCCCAAATACGACTTCGAAAATCTCAAAAAGTCATCTTTTAAGTAATAGACCCGTTCAATGTAGATCTTCGATCTCTATAACGACAAAATCAAACATCACCAAGTTTTTTACTACTAAGAGCTCTTTACATTAGCTACAAAATCTATCTATTATGGATAAAAAAACATTGGAGAGAGACATCTCAAAATAGACCCCCCCTGTTATCATAATATCAATTTTGATCATTTGATAGTGATATACTATTCATTCGTTTAATCTTTTGTCATCAAATCTAACTCGATAATATCATCCTTTAAGAAGATATATTTTTTAGAATAAAAGAATAAGAATGGAATTTAATTTGTATTATCTTTTGTGCCAAAAACATGCATACGTGAAATGTGTAATAGATATTCAATGGTATACTGCGTCGTTTTTCTTATCAACGAGTAGAAGAATCTAACTGTATAGCCTGATATTTTTTGTAGAGTATATAATATTTCTATATGTTGTAAAAAAATATATTCGATTGTATACTGTTCTGTGCTAATAATACTTTCATATCGCTTTAATTGGCGGGATGGTATATATACAATGTGTTCGCTGCGGACGTAAAATCGATGCTAAGCATGAACGACGAAAAATGAATATATCGATGCAATTGTTTGTGGCTTCTCAGAAAATGGAAAAGGTGAAAGTTGAAGCATTTCTTTGCACTGGTGAATATCAAAGTGAATATTATAAATGGAAGAGTTTAACACAATCATTGCAATATATATTGAACGAAGACTCATCCGAAAATGAGAAGGTAATATCATTGATATGTAACGAATGAGAGAACTTTTGAATTGTGATAGATGCAAGTTGATGATATTACTGTTGAAGAAAATGTTGATAATCCTTCGGCAGTTGGAAGAGAAACCCGAATATCATTATTCATCCCTAGAACGATTAGTGATTATAAGTAATGAGCTTCATTAAAAAATAAATATAATCTTAGTTTTCACAGGCAATGTATTGTTTGTGGATTGAAGAACGAGTGAAAGTAATTTCTAGTTTTCTGCGGAATCTGATCTTTATGAAACGGGGTATTTTTGTACCTGATCAAGCACGCTTCTGCTCCGAACATATGATTGAGCGTACAGATTTAACATATGAAACCTTCCAAAGTATCAAAAGTAGACGAAAAGTTTTATGTTTACAACTACACAACCATTTAACTATGATTATGTAGGTTATACATCCGATATAATGATATTATCAAATGATGATATTCAAAACTGGCTTAAAAATTTTCGATCAGTATTGAATATGTCAAAGTGTTTCAATTTTGACGATCCGTACTGCTTAACTGACACGGATTATTATAACAGAACCGGTATAAAGAAAGATAGTTACTTCAATGTTGTGTCTGAAACTTATTGAATATTTCATTATTCATAGGTCAATTTGATTATCTACTTACTTTTTATCTTTCGTCAATGCGCGACGGTTCTCTTCGATCTAAGCTTGTGGCTCTTACTCTTTTCCTCTGTAAACTTCGTTTGGGATTGAGTAACAATATACTACCTTCTTTGTTTCATCTTCCTGGTAAAGATGCAGTGTCGCATACCTTCCATGGAGTGCGAAAAGAATTACTCAAGTAATTCGTCCCTAGATAAGGTGCCGGAAATGCAAAATTGGAGTGAATTTTTTTTCTCGTCTGTTTGTATATGGTTTGATAGAGCTTGAAAAGCTGATCACGAATATACACTTTTTATTTTGACTCAATGGCTTTTTGACTGAGAAAACCTTAAAAAACTAGAATGACTAAGAAAATA